CAACCGATCCCTTATGCCTCGTGAAACGGTCTCTATTCATCGCCGGGGGGAGAGCTGTCCAGGTGACAAACCCTGCGGTGCTTTTTGTTGCTAAAACTTTGGTTGTCCGGGAGGGGGGGGGGTTGTTTTCACACCCCTGAGCGCCAAAAGTGCCAGTGTTGACACAGGCTGTGTGTCATGGACGCCAAACAGCAAAAGAATCAGCCTTAAAATTCTCCTCCGTAATCACAGCTTCCTGTTGTGAACTTCCCTTCAAATAAAGCCATTCAGCATAACCTCCCCTTGGTCCTGTCTTCTGCTTTGGCCAAGTCTGGGCCTGACGACGTGCCAGCGGGGCTCTATAATCAATTGTAGTGTCCACTAATTCCCAGGGATGCCACCAGGGGTCACTGGAGCGTTTTCTTTGTTAAGGTAACTACTGTAAAAGTGATAGAAATGTAGCCGTGTTAGTCTGGGGTAGTTGAAGCAAAATGCAGGACAATGTAGCACTTTAAAGACTAACAAGATGGTTTATTAGATGATCATCTAATAAACCATCTTGTTAGTCTTTAAAGTGCTACATTGTCCTGCATTTTACTGTAAAAGGTTATTTTCAGCAGAGGGAACCATTGGGAAATCAGTCTGAGGGGTGGCCGTGTTAGTCTGCAACGTTAAAAATAACGAGCGGCTCCGGGGCAGCTGAGAGACTGGCAAATCTACTGGGTCAGGAGCTTTCGTGAGTAGAACCCACTTCCTCAGATGAATTGGAGTAGAAGTGATAGAATCCGGGGGGTATCTGACAGCAAAAGCAGCTGCCTGTCAATTGCAGGACCAGTGTTAATGGAGCTAATTAAGTCAGGCTGGATGTGTCCTGTTCATAGCCTGTGATGTGGAAATGCGAATATCAAAGAACCATCCGGAAATCGGGGTGTGACTAAGCACGCCCTTGGACCTGATCAATCTGAAACTCGCCATTATTGAATGAATGGATGTAAAAGTTGCTCTCCTCTCCTCTCCTCATCAGCCCCCTCCGGTCAGTCCCACCTTTCAGGCCGGTCTCTGACCTCTCCAGCGGGTTCACTTGCCTTCAGACCGAACTCACAGACCTTGCTCCTGGCTACAGCTGGCGGGGGAACAGAATTTCGCTTCTGCAAACGGTTTTGATGTTTTGGAAATGTTTCCCCCCGACACACTCAGGGTGCAAAGCTGACACCGCAGCCTCTTCCCTGGAGGTGAAATCCTGCCCTGTTTCCTCTCACAAATACTCAGACTTTCCCACCACAGGACTAATTTGGTGTTTCCAAAATCAGACACATTCCCTGGGCACCCTCTGATGGGAAAAATGTTGTGACTAGCCCCGTCTATTACGATTGAGATCAATCGTGTTCCTTCCTGCTGCAACCTGGGCGCCATCTGCTGGCCCGCTCCAAACGCTCAGATCACCTGCCCATGGGTTGAACTCCTCTTCCCCTGCTCCAGTCTCTTTGCCAGCAGGTCAGATTGCCCTCAACTTCAAAGGCTTTCACAGCTTTGCTCTGAAATGCCACTGTGAGGCTGGGCCACGATGCCAGTCTCGATCCCCATTTCTCACAGCTGCCTTCAACCTTCTTCTACGTGAACCATCCGGTCCAGTAAAGCCACGCCCCTCTCGTCCTCAAGCCCCGCCTCTACTGGGACACCTACAAGATGCCAGCCAGCTCATTTGGCCTGGGTTCTGTCTGTCTGCCTTTGGTACTTACATGGTCCTCATCACATCAGTGTCTGAGCCCCTCGCAGTCATTGCTGTGTTTGTCTCCCCACGGCCCTGCAAGGCAGGCCCAGCTATTACTCTCATTTTATAGATGGGGAACTGAGGCACAAAGAAATAAGTGACTGGCCCCCAGTCACACAGGATGTCTGTGGCAAAGCAGGGACATGAGACCCTTAGTCTCCATGTCTCCGGCCCCTGCTTTTACCACTGGGCCAGTCCTCTGGGTTGAGGCTCACTTGGCTCAATTTGTTGTCTATCTATTTGGATTACATTTTTCTCTCTCTCGTCCTGCCTCTCTAGTGGCTTCTCATCTTACATAGAGCTCTTTGGGGCAGGAGCTTGACTGTGTGGGAGCACCTAGCGGGTTGGGGGCGTGGCTTGTCTGCAAACCGCCTTAAAGGGGTGTGGCTGTAGAATGTGCCATGCCCCCTTTGGAATCTGGCTCTTACGTCCAACCTTCCTTCCTCTCCCCAATGACCCCAAAGTCCAGGATATAGGGATCCCAGGGGGGAGGGGTGTCCAGGGCCTTGTGGAAATGTGGGTGAGGTGTGGAAATCGATTGGGAATGGAGGCTCAGTGCCTGATCCCCTACCACTGTCCAAGGGGAGTTGCTTCTAGGGTTTGGGGCTGGGTCAATCTCTCATGTAAGTTAAGCTGGGAGGAGGAAATGTCTCATGAAACTCAAGCAGCGTTTCCTGTAAGCTGTGCGCATAGACAGCCACCCGGGAGAAATTGATGCCACCCAGATGATTAGCAGAGTGCCCCTAGCCACCAGCATGGGTTTCTGCTGGTGGTGCACATCCATCCATTCCTCAGTGCACAAAATAAAATTTATTCCACACCTGGATGGAAACAAATAGAGGGAAAATAGATCTCAGGATGAATTTATTTGTGAGAGCCCACTGTGCTGATGGCCTGGTTTCTCTGTAACGTGGCCGGAGAACGAGTGCTGATTCTAGACATGCATTGACAATTCTTTTTGTTCTTCCCCTTCCCAGACATCTGTGTCATAGAATCATAGAATAATAGGACTGGAAGGGACCTTGAGAGGCCATTGAGTCCAGCCCCCCGCCCTCAAGGCAGGACCAAGCTCCGTCTACACCATCCCTGACAGATGTCTATCTAACCTGTTCTTAAATATCTCCAGAGAGGGAGATTCCACCACCTCCCTTGGCAATTTATTCCAATATTTGACCACCCTGACAGTTAGGAATTTTTTCCTAATGTCCAATCTAAACCTCCCCTGCTGCACTTTAAGCCCATTACTTCTTGTCCTGTCCTCAGAAACCAAGAGGAGCAAATTTTCTCTTTCTTCCTTGTGACACCCTTTTAGATATTTGAAAACCGTTATCATGTCCCCCCTTAATCTTCTTTTTTCCAAACTAAACAAGCCCAGTTCATGAAGCCTGGCTTCATAGGTCATGTTCTCTAAACCTTTAATCATTCTTGTTGCTCTTCTCTGTACCCTTTCCAATTTCTCCACATCTTTCTTGAAATGTGGTGCCCAGAACTGGACACAGTACTCCAGCTGAGGCCTAACTAGTGCAGAGTAGAGCGGCAGAATGACTTCACGAGTTTTGCTTACAACACACCTGTTGATACAACCTAGAATCATATTTGCTTTTTTTGCAACAGCATCACACTGTTGACTCATATTCAACTTGTGGTCCACTATGACCCCTAGATCCCTTTCCGCCATGCTCCTTCCTAGACAGTCGCTTCCCATCTTGTATGTATGGAACTGATTGTTCCTTCCTAAGTGGAGCACTTTGCATTTCTCTTTATTAAACCTCATCCTGTTTACCTCTGACCATTTCTCTAACTTGCTAAGGTCATTTTGAATTATGTCCCTATCCTTTTTTTGGATATGTCCTTAGACTATGAGCTCCTCCAGGCAAGGAGCGTCCCTTGTATGGCTGGAAAGCAGCTGACAGTGTGGCCGCTCCCACAGATTGATAAATCCCCCTAGATACGTGCAGCGTGTCCTGGGCTAACTGGCCAGCTCCTGTCCGGGCAGGGCCCTCTCTGCTCCTTTGGAGGGAGGGGCAGAGGGTCTATTTGCCATGAGCAACAAAGGCAGGTGTGAAAAAGCTGTGGGTGGACGGCACACTGTGCCCAGCTTTTACCGCCTGCAGGCAGGCCCACAGATACGCTTTTTACAATGGTGTGAAACACGTTCATTCACGTTTATATGACAGGATGCCCTGTCCAGTCCTACGGCCTGAATTCCTGCCTTCCCCTCTCTTCTCCTTCCCCCCTCAAAATTCCCAGGCCTGCAGGAATCTGCCGTCGTTAGCTCACTTCGGACCATGGTAGCTTTGGGAGCACGTGCACAAAAACCTCAAGAAAACGGCAGGTGGGCTCCGAGTCAGGGGGACATTTCTCAAGTGCATGGAGGCAAATTCAGCTCCTGGAGCAGGGGCGGGGAACGTAAGGCCCAGTGGCTGGATGCAGCCCCTGGCTTGCCTGAGCCCAATCCCGGAGGCTCAGGGTTCCTCCCACCCCCCAGTGGCACAGTGGCCCACTAGCTTGGGCCTCCCTCGGCTCTGGTGTGTGATGGGAAAGTGGGCCCACGTCCGCGAGGGAGCTTGGTTTTGTTTTTTGCTTCTCACGTGCGTGTGGCCCCCGCCTGATTTTTCTGTGGGTCAGCAGCCCCCGACCCAAGAGAGGTCCCCCACTCTTGTCTTAGAGGGTGACATGACATCTTGTTTCTTGGGCCTGGCTCTAGCAAGACAGGCCACGCAGCTGTAACCCTTCCCATGCAGGGCTGGCCCAAAACATTTTGGCACCTGAGGTAGAGCGCTCAAATGGTGCCCCCATGCCCCCTCGCGTGAGCCAAAACTTTGAAAAGTTTTCTTTCTGTTCTACTCCTCTCGTGGTGCTGCTCTGCTACATGCACACAATTTTCTACACTCTGGGTCCTAGTGGTGTTCCCCCACAGTCTGGCACCTGAGGCAGCCACCTCAGTTCACCTCATGGTAGGGCCAGCCCTGTTGGATGTGGCGTTAGAAAAAGTTGCATTTTTCCTGCCACAGGCCCGTGAACTCGACTGAATTAAGCCCCTGTAGGAAAAACCAGTCAAAGCAGCTTTTAAATGGGCAGAAACAGCCCCCCCCCCCCCCCCCGGTAACCAGGACACAAAGGAGGAGCTAGAAAAGTTTAACCCAGAGCCTGAGCTGAAAGGTCCCTCTGATTGGAAGAGTCTGAATCAATAGAGAATGGCAGGGGGGTGGGAGGGGGAGCCAGGGGGGCAATCCGTTGCCCAGCCTGCTCTTGCCTCCTACCAAGCAAGAGCAAAAGAAAGAGAAATTGGCATCAGACGCTGCCGGAGACGCCTGTGCCCAGCAGAGCAGCGAAATGATTCCTATGAGGAGCTGCACCAGGACTGACCCTTGAAAGAATCGGATTTGGGGGAAGAGAAGGAAAATGTCCGAGTCCAGTTCGTCCCTTAGCCCCCCGGGATCATTAACGTCCAGCGGTCGAGTCCTGCGGCTGGCCACCAAAGGGGGGGGGGTCGTGCTGGAGCAGACCCTGCGAGGCATTGACAAGGGGGACCCGGCCCTCTCCCAAACCGACCAAGTAAGTAGCCAATGGCCAGGATGCTGGTTTGGCTTCACCTGGTATTATGACAGAGCTAAAAGAATAAATGGTGCCATGATGATTTCTGGGGAGGGCTGTGAGGGAGGCACGGGCAGGAGTCACCGGAGCTAATCGTGGCTCTTTCGACAGCATGAATTTAATAGGTAGCCAGCTTAACACAAACAAAAGGAAGTTTTTCTTCAAGCAGCGCAGTCAACCTGTGGAACTCCTTGCCAAAGGAGGTTGTGAGGACCAGGACTTTCACAGGATTTCAAAAAAGAACCAGATAAGCATTGATGGATCTAACCTCCATGAATTTATTAGCCAGGATGGGTAGGGAGGGTGTCCCTAGCCTCTGTGAGGGGCTGGGAATGGAGGACAGGGGACGGATCACTTGATGATGCCCTGTGTCTGTTCACTCCCACTGGGGCACCTGGCATAGGACACTGGGCTAGATGGACCTTTGGTCTGACCTAGTTTGGCTGTTCTTAAATGCCCAAGTGCCTTAGGAGCAGGGGTTGTTTCTGTCCGTGCCATTTACTATTCACCCCCTCTGGACCCAGAGTAATCCACTTGCTGGAATGGGCAGGTGAATTCTGTAGTGCCCGCATTAGTTGGCCACCCTGCTCCCAGTCTCCTTCCCAGCACTTAGTGGTTTCTCCTTGGGAGGAAAGGGATGTTCTAGCCAATGGTTTCACCATTACTGGCTGTATTACAGTAGCTTGCAGCGCCCCCATCCCCATGATCCCAGCCCCACGGTGCCCGACGTGGTGCAAACGCACAGCGAGGCGGTCCCTGCCTGGAAGAGTTTGCCATCTGAACGCACGTGGTAGTAAGGAAGCATGACTGCCCCCCATTACAAATGGGAGTGCTGAGGCAGGGAGAGGCTTGGTCACACACAGGTCACACACAGGGTCTGAGGGAGGGCAGGGGACTGAACTCGGACTGCTTGAGCCCTAAGCTAGGGCCTTTAGCTACAAAACCAGCCGTGCGTTGGGACAGAGGAGTAGGAATCATTTAACTGCATCATAAACTCCATCTGAGCTGAGCCTCCCTGGTGGAGACAGAGGGCACGGAAAAGACTTGGAGTCTACAGCAGGTGGTGCTAGGCGTAGAAGGCATTTTTCCAGTCAGGTTCCAGAGCTTTGGGCTTCATCAACAAACATAGCGCTTGTTTCCTTGTGTCGTTGCCTGCCCTGGAACCGTAGCTCCCAACCTGGGCCCATTCACGACTAGCCTACAAGCATGCAGGTCACACCCTGAAGGGCTGTCTGCTGGACGGCCTTTGTGCAGCAGTTCTGACCCCCACAGCCTGTCCGCAGCCCCTCTCTGGCTTCCACCAGCCTGGGTTGCTATATGCAGGGTGACCCCAACACACTCCCAGTCCTGCATTGTTGCCAAACCATGTGCTCTATAATGTCCAGCCTGTTACAGGACAGTTCACAGAAAGAAAAGGATTTATTTGCTCCTATTTGCCATTGGCGACATTCGCTGGAGCAGACACTCGCTGGAGTACAAATCCAATGCGGCTGGTTTACATTAACAGTAAAACGAGTTTACGGACAAAAGATGACAGGATGTTAAGTGAATCAGAGAAGAAGAGAGAAAGTTAGAAATGGTCACCAGCAAATGAAAGTGAAAACCTGCATCTGAAAGTCTCAGTCTTAATCTGGCAAGTGTTTGTTCAAAGCTTTGGTCAAGATGACCTTTCTCACCCTTAGTCCTCCCGCAAGGTGGTGGTGGATGGACCCCCTCCTCCGATTCTCTTCTAGCGACATACCAGTGCAAGTTATAACAGTGATGTGTCTGACGAAGTGGGCTCCGGCCCATGAGAGCTTGTGTCCAAATAAACATGTTAGTCTTGAAGGTGCCACAGGACTCCTTGTTGATTTTGCTACCCGGGACTAACATGGCTACCCCTCTGAAACAGTGCAAGTGTCTTTGCCGTCTGAGGTGAAAGGGAGAACATGGGGTTCTCTGCCCCTTGCTTGGATAGTCTGGTGAACCTTTGCAATGGAGTCTTCTGAAGGTCCCCCTTCAAAGTAAAGCTCATCCAAGCTGGGAGGAAGGCAGCATGGAGGCTCCATGCCCTTTCTTTCCCCACTTGTGTTTGAGGAAATGCTGATTGTTCTGTTTCCTGCTGTTTAATTTAATGAATGGAGATGCCTATCTCCTAGAGCTGAAAGGGACCTTGAAAGGTCGTTGGGTCCAGTCCCCTGCCTTCACAGCAGGGCCAAGTACCATCCCTGACAGATTTTTGCCCCAAATGGCCTCCTCAAGGATTGAGCTCACAACCCTGGGTTTAGCAAGCCAATGCTCAAACCACTGAGCTAGCCCTCCCCTCCTTTCTGCCCCCTGCTGTATTGTGTGTCCTGTTTGCTGCTTCTGTGCAGCTTGAGGTAAACACCCATCCCTTTGTTTATGCTCAACCTGCTTTGACAACTTTGGCCTAGGCGGGTCTGCTTGGTTTTGAACCAACCAACTAATAACATCAGACAGGGGAATTCATAACGTGACATGTAATATTCCTACTCACTTTTCATCATGCTATTTTATTGACTAGCATGTTTAGTTTTTAGTGGATGCCTCCCAAGGTGTATTTTGTATGAAGATTATTACAGTAGGGTGCAGGCCTGCCGACGGATGGGGGAAGTGGGAGTGAAGGGAGCAAGTGCCTCGGAGCCCAGTGATTCTAGAAGGTGCAGGGTTCCCAGCTGTTGCTACTGCAGCAGCAGCGGTGCACAGAGTCCTGGCCCTTTAAATCACCGCTGGAGCACCGTGTGGCGTGCTCCAGGAGGATCTAAGGCAGTGGTCAGGATCAGGATCTACTGGTAGATCTTGGAGCCTCTGACAGGTGATCCTGACTGGTTTGGCCAAGAGGCTATTGAGTACCAGCACTTCAGCCGCATCTCCTCCCTACTGCTGCGCATCTCCTGCCCCTTGCCTTGGGGCTGCCTCCCCCCATCCCTGGGAGCCTCCTGCTGTTCAGGGCAGGGGAGGGAGAAGAGGAGCACTAATGTCAAGCACTCTCCCACCCTGTATCCTACATCCACAGAGCAGGGCGGGGGGCACAACAGGACTTGGGATGAAGTTTGCTGGCTGCTTTTGGGAGGGAGGAGCCAAGGTGGGGAGCCTGCTTTACCCCCACTGTACCACCACTCTGGAGCCACCTGAGGTAAGCAGGGCCCAGTCGGAGCCCACATCCTGAAACCCTACTCCAGTCATGAGCCCCCTCCTGCCCCTCATATCCCTGCCCTAGCCCCAAGCACCCCTGCATCCAAACATCCTCCCAGCTTGCACCTAGAACCCCTTCCTGCATCCCAACTGCCTGCCCCAAGATCAGGTCAGAGCCCCTCTTGCACTCCAAACCCCTTAATTCCAGACTGGAGCCTGCACCCCCAGCCTGGTGAAAGTGAAGGAGAATGGAGGAGAGAGGGAGGGAGGATGGAGTGAGCAGGGGTGGAGCCTCGGAGAAGGAGCACAAAGGAGGTGGGGGCAAGGGTATTTCGCTTCGAGGTAGATCTTGGATTGCACTTAAATTCAAGAAGTGATCTCATGCATGAAAAGGTTGGCGACCACTGATCTAAGGTATTGGGGCTGGTCGGCCCCATCCCTTCCTCCCAAGGCCCCACCCCTTTGGGGAGTGCAAAACCAGCCCCTCCTCCACACCTTTCCCAGGGGCCCAGTGTGGCTGTCAGCTCCCCTGGTGGTATGTAGGGCAGTGATACACTGGCATGCCATGAGGCAGTCGGAGGTGTGCCATGGAGAACAGAGTTCAAAATGGCCTCCCTTAAAAGGGCAGGCAGCTTTTTTTTTTTTTTTTTTTTCTCCCCTCAATAACTTTCTCCCTGACCCCTGGTGTTCCTCATTAAAAAAAATATATATATTGTTTGGTGTTCCTCGGTCTTAAAAAGTTTAAGAAACACTGGGGTAGGGTGTGACTGATGCAGGCATGCTTTGGGTCACACTGGATTGCCCAGGGTTTACAGACCTGGCTGAAGAAAAGAAACCCCCCCCCAGAGATCCTTGAGAGGTGCTTGAGGCAGGGTGCTTCCTCGGGAGAGGAGAGCAAGGCTGAGCTTTCAACCTTAAATCGGCTGCGAACTAGTCAAACTCCATGCCTGGGACATGTCACACCCAGTAATTCTTATGGTCCTGACAGACTCCACTCTAACCGTAAACTGGGCCAAACAGAACTGTGCTTGAGTCGTTCCTTTCGCACTTCTTGGAAGATCCCCAGAAGGTGGGTTCTGAGGGTAACTGATCGTGTGTAGACAGCAAGGTGTGGGATCAGGCCCTTGCTACCTGAGTTCTCGCCTCTGTCCCCATGCGCCAGCATGACAGCTAAGATCAGCTGCTAAAGTGATGGTTGCCTAAAAGGTGACCTTGCTAAGGAAGAAATGAGCAACAAAAGCCCATCATGACACGGACACCTGTGTGGGCAAACTTGAGACATCTAGGCTCTCAGTCGGTGATGCCTGTCTTGTGTCCTCCAGGAGTCGGGTCTGACCCCCTTCCTGATCGCCGTGAGAGAGAACAGGCTGTCTATTGTCGAGCGGCTGCTGGAGCTGGGAGTGAATCTTTCAGACCAGACTAAAGTAAGAAACCACTTACTTACTAGCTTGCCAGAGCCCTTATGGGTGTGGGTAGAGCAAGAAGAGCAAGGTTCATGTTAGAGGACTCCATACAGTATGGCGTGATAGACTACATGACCACTAGGAGGAGATCTGATAACTGTCTGCTGCCAGTATTCTCATTCATTGTTCATACCATGGTAAAGTGAGATTGGGGCTCCAATGTGCTGGGAGCTGTACAAACACCTAGTGAGAAACAAAAACCTGCCCAGCTAGATGAGTAGCTACACTGGCATCTCATAAAAGATACCTTGGCATTGGAAGAGGTTCAGAAAAGGGCAACAAAAATAATCAAGGGTTTGGAACGGGTGCTATATAAAGAGAGATAAAAAAGACTGGGACTTTTCAGCTTAGAAAAAAAGAGACTAAGTGGTGAGGGGATATGATAAAGGTCTATAAAATCATGACCGGTATGGAGAAAACGAGTAAGGAAAAGTTACATAACATAAGAACTAGGGGTCAGCCAATGAAATTAATAGGTAGCAGGTTTAAAACAAACAAAAGGAAGTTTTTCTTCATGCAGTGCACAGTCAACCTGTGGAACTCCTTGCTGTGGTGAAGGCCAGGACTTTAACGGGGTTCAAAAAAGAACTAGATAAATTCCCGGAGGTTAGGTCTATCAATACTTATTAGCCAGGATGGGTAGGAATGGTGTCCCTGGCTTCTATTTGTCAGGGACTTTGTCAATCACTTGATGATTACCTATGTCTGTTCACTCCCTCTGGGGCACCTGGCACTGGCCAGTGTCGGAAGATAGGATGTTGGGCTAGATGGACCTTTTTTTCTGGCCCAATATGGCCGTTCTTATGTTCATGGCAAAGGAAGAATTGCTAACCCCCCTTTTAAAGGTGGGGGACTGAGGCACAGAGTGACTTGCCCCAGGGCACACAGCAAGGTTGTGGCAGAGCTGAGATTGGAACCTACATTTTGTGAGAACCAATCCAGAGACTTAACAACAGGTCCATCCTTTTGTGTCCCAGCATGTGAACAAAACAGACATGGGGGAGGTGTATGCCAAAGAGCAAGGGATTGAAGCTGAGCTTAGCAAAACATGGACGCATCAAACATCAGGAAATATTTCCCAGTGTTAAGGTCTATCAGATGTTGGAAGAGTCTCCTAAGGAGAACTCCATGGTATGAATCATCCAGGACACAAATGGATGGAGCAGGGAGGTGCATTTGTGATAGAACTGATCCAGTAGTAGCAGACATGCAGGTAAGCGATAGGTCATTTGCATCTCTAAAGTCTATGGTTTAAGGGGACAATCAGCTGATCCGGCACAGCACGGCCGTCTAGACGCGGATCGGTCGACAAGGGAAGCCTTTGTCCACCACTCCCTTATGCCTCATGAAACAAAGGTTATTATTTAAATCCCCGCTTCATTGACTATGTCAGTAAACTAGTTTACATGGCTCTGTCGACGGAGCCATGTAGTCTAGACCAGTGGTCCCCAACCTTTAGATGCTCCCGGGCGCCTGGGGTGGGGCCACTCACGCACCGGGCTCCCGGGGGCGGGGCCACGCATCCTGGGGAACGCCAGGGGCGGGGATGCCCTTGCACCCAGCGCCAGCATGTGCCCCGGGGCCAGGTCTGGGGCAGCCCCAG